AGAGACTACGGGAGCACAGGCTTTACGCCAAACTGGAGAAGTGCCAGTTCGACGTGAAGGAGGTAGATTTCCTGGGCTACAAGCTGTCCGACAAGGGTCTCGCCATGGACAGCGCCAAGGTCCGCTCGGTGTTGGACTGGAAGAGCCCGCGCAATAGGAAGGAGGTCCAGAAGTTCGTCGGCTTCGCCAACTTTTACCGCAAGTTCATCAAGGGGTTTGCAAAGGAGACGGCGGCTATCACGGACACCCTCAGCTCCAAGAAAAAGAAGTTCACCTGGACGGACCAGGCGGAACAGTCTTTTCAGAGACTCAAGCGTCTCTTCGCGTCCGAAGAACAGCTGCTACACGTCAACCCCGGCAAACCGATGCGGATTGAGACTGACGCCTCAGACAGAGCGGTGGGGGCGGTCCTGTTGCAGAGAGATCCGCAAGGGAACTGGAGGCCCTGCGCATTCTACTCCAGGAAGCTCAGCAAGTCGGAGCAGAACTACACAATCTGGGACAGGGAGTTGCTGGCCATTCATGCAGCCTTCAAAGCGTGGCGGCACTTCCTCATTGGAGCCAGACACACAGTGCAAGTCCGCACAGATCATAAGAACCTGGAGTACTGGCGCACGGCGAGGTTCCTGAACCAAAGGCACATCCGCTGGGCGGAGTTCTTTGCGGATTTCGACTTCAGGATAGAATACATCCCGGGAGACAACAACGTCATGGCAGATGCACTATCCAGGAAGCCGCAGTATCTCGAGGAAGCGGCACCGGTGGCGGCCAAGCACATTTTCGCACCGAAAGCGTGGGCGTGCGCTTCAGCCACAGTGGACCTGGACGCGGTGCGTCGCGCGCTGCAGACGGACCCGTTCGCACGATCCAAGATGGAGGAGGTGCAAAGAGGCACAGCGAAGGACGGAGAGTTCCAGATACGCGACGGATTACTCCTCCGTAGAGGGGCGCTCTATGTGCCGGGGGACGACCTCTGCGCGAAAGTCCTGCAGCAGTTACACGACGCACCCAGCGCTGGGCATTTCGGCAAGGACAAGACAGCGGAATTAGTAGCCAGAGACTTTTGGTGGCCCAAGATGAGGGGTGAAGTTGAGGATTACGTCGCTCGGTGTGACACATGCCAAAGGGCCAAACCAGTACACAGGGCGCCGGCGGGACTACTGGAACCGCTTCAGACGCTGTTTGAACCATGGGAGAGAGTGGCCCTGGACTTTGTCACAGATCTGCGCAGCTCGAGAGGCAAAACAGCGGTGCTCGTGGTCGTAGACCTGTTCACCAAGATGGCGCATTTCATTCCTTGCGCGAAGGTGGCCACGGTGGAACAAACCGCCAAGCTGTTCATAGACCACGTGTTCAGAGTTCACGGCTTGCCGAGATCCATCCTATCCGACCGGGGGCGCCAGTTCGTCTCGAGTTTCTGGCAGAAGCTGCTGGGCATCCTGAACGTCAAGATCAACTTAGCGTCGGCACGACACCCGCAGACCAACGGACAAGCGGAGAGGGTCAACGCCATCATGCAGCAGTACCTGCGATGCTACGCGAACCAACAACCCTCGACCTGGGTGGACTACCTTCCGCTGGTCGAGTTTGCCTACAACAACACGAAGCACGCGTCTACAGGGGTGACGCCGTTCTTCGCCAACAATGGGCGGCATCCCAGAACCTTCGTGGGGTTAGAGACGAAGGGGGAGGGGGAGCCACAGGGGGCAGAGCACTTGGCAGCAGAGTTGCAGGAGGTCCACGAGCAACTCCGAAGGAACTTAGAACTAGCAAAACAAGCCTACAAAGTGCAGGCAGACAGGCACAGGAGAGTCGGGGAAGACATCCAGGTGGGGGACTGGGTATGGTTAGCAGCCCAGGCAGTGCCAGCCAGAACGTTAGCTAAGAAGAAGCTTAGACACAAGCAGCTAGGGCCTTACCAAGTCGAGGCGCAGATCAATCCAGTGGCCTTCCGGTTGATGCTCCCGGAGGGTTCCAGAATGCACCCAGTCTTTCACAGGTCGGTGCTCACACCCTACAAGGAGCACCACAGGTTTCAGACCCCAAGGGCCACACCAGACCCACTCAGCAAATCACCAACAGGGGGGGTCACCGAGGGTGGCACCACTCAACGAGGTCACGGAGATTTTGGACTCGAGATGGGGGGAAGAGGGAGTTGAATATCTCCTCGCCGAGGAAGGTACCCCGGCCAGCGCCAACAGGTGGGTACCGGACTATGCCTTGGAGGAGCGGTACCTCAAAGACGAGTTCCATGCTCTCTTCCCTCACAGACCTATGCCGGCAGATTATTTCGACGACTGTCTTTTCACACCCACACTCTCCGCCAATACGTTCCAGGGTGTGATGGCCTGGGATTCCGAGTCTGAGAGCGATCCGGAGGAATCCCAGCCGGCACAGGAGTCCCCGCCTCCAGGGCCGGCTGAACTGGGGCAAGGCCTAGATGCTGAGGAAACTCAAGAGCAGGCACCAGGTGAAATCATTCAGGCCCCAGAGGTGCTGGAAGACTCAGTGGCTACAGGTGAGCCTCCCCCGGGGCCCAGTAACCCTTCGGCCTCTCCTGATCTGCAGAGGCTTAGGGCAGAGAGGCGAAGGGAACTGGTGTCTCCCAGGAGGAGTGCTCGCCTTAAGGCCAAGAGAGGCGGGGCTTCTGGGGGCCGGGACCGCCCCCGGCCTTAGAAGAAGATAAAGGTCAGGCAGCCCGGTCCCAGGTTGCGGGAGCAACGTCGTTGTGGAGTACCTGTTTTACCCAGTCCTTGTTCGGCACTCCCAGTGTGCCTATTCCTCGCCCGGCTTCCTGTTTCTGACTCTCCGGTGTTCCTGTTCCTTGCCTGGATTCCTGCTTCTGCCCTACCAGTGTTCCTGTTCCTCGCCTGGCTTCCTGCTTCTGCCCTACCATCGTTCCTGTTACCCCGCCCGGCTCCCTGTCTCGGACCTCGCGTCTCATCTAGTGATCATCTACCCTGCTAGAGACTCTGAACTGATCTTGGCCTACGGTAATAGTACCTTATTCCCCCTGGGACCAGCACACAGGGGTTCTCATCAGCGGAGGAACCGGCGCCAGACACAAGCTCCCCAGAGGGATCGCTCTCGGGGTCTGGCACGGACCGCTCGTATTGGTGGGACAATCAACCGGAAGTTGGGTGGAGCAGAGAACTCTTACACGCAACCTCGCCCGAGGTGCCAGGGGGTGAGGCGGACATGGACGGGTTGGGGGAGGAACCTGCATTCAAGCACAGCTACAGAGAGATGGAAGCAGAGGGGATCGACGTCGACGAGCCTATCACGGACTGGCCAGATCTAGCTGGCGAGCTGCACACCAGGGGGGAAGAACTGTACCCCGCACGCACCCCCGCAGCACGGGAGCACCCGGAACCCGCACCAGAAGAAGGGGAGGGGGAGGGGGGCTTCGAGGGGGGGATGGATGTCAGGGGCTCAGGAGCAGAGGCGCAGGGGAGAGAGGAAATGGAGAGCGAAGGGGAAGAATCTGAGGGCAGCGGAGGGCAGAATGACAGTGACCCGAGAGATTCCATGAGCCTCTCCAGTGAATCAGAAGATTCCCAGAAGGGAGCGCCGATGGCCAGGGCAAGGGGAGTCCCAGGGAGGACACACCAGAAGCAGGGGGCCAGCGGAGACTCCCAGAGCAGTAGCTGGAAATCAGGGCCAGCTTCCCCATCGGAGCGTAGTGGGGGGGAAGAGTCTCATAGGTCAGAGTCAGCCTCTCCTCCGGCAAGCAGCGACAGAAGCAGTATAACGGTCAGAAGGAAGGTGGCAGGCTGGGCGCGCGCGCCAAGTTCAAATGTACAGGCGCGCGGGACAGCAGAAAGCCCGGATTGGGAACCAGGTCCTAAAGCCCGCCGGAGGGAGGGGGAAGACTCGGGGGGGTCAGCGTCAGAAGAGTCCAGAAAGGGGAAAACCCCGGCGGACAGGCGGACCCAGAGGAAAAGGGAGCAGAGGAAGAGGTGGAGCAAGGCTAGGGTCTTAAACTGGTGTCTGGGGGGAGGAGACTCAGATGGAGCTTCGACGGTCTAGAGTTTCAGACGTAGGGCTGCGCGCCACGGCTGTAAAACCAATAATGAACTTCAATAAAGACTTTTGTATATAAAGAGATACTGGCATTGGTCCTCTGTGAGCTAGGACCTGAGGCAGCTCTGACAATTGGCTATGCTGGCTATGGCTGATAAGAGTAGGAGTCCCAAAAATATGGAGGGCACCAGATTGGAGAAGGCAGAGCAATGTTTGTTCTTCTGGATGTGGCTGGACTCCAACTCTCATCAGCCATTGCCAGCATCGCCAAGAGCCAGGGATGATAGGAGTTGGGAGTCTAGCAACTTCAGGAGGGTCACAGAGTCTCTCTCACTGATGTAGTGTGGTTGTATAATCCTGACTTTTCTGATTTATCTGCCAGGGGTTGTATTCAACATAGCACAAAGGACAACGTTATGCAATGCCATCTCTCCACTGCCCGCCCCCCTTCCGGGCGCTCTCCCCACACCAAAAATATGATATGGGTCCGACTCTTTCCAGTTTTGGAGATGGTGAAGGAAGGAGAGTGGATCCCATATGTTGTGATAGGGCAAAAAATAAAATATGTAAATCACTTTGCAGATTCAAAAACCACAACAAAAATGCTAAGCATTTGAGAGTAAACATGGCACAGTGGCTGGAACAAGACCACTGGAGATCCAGGTTCAAATCCCTGTCCATTCAGACATGAAGTGGCCATGAGCTGGTGATTCTCTCTCAGCCTGGCCCACCTTGCAAGCTTGTTGTACATATGAAAAGGGAAGGGGGAAACAATGTACAGCACCCCCAGCTCTTTGGTGGAAAGGCAGGACATGCATGTAATTAATGCATATTTCCTTTGCAGGCAGAATTAATGGCAAGAGCAAGCCGCCGTCTTGATACCCAATCCATGCTTAGGAGTTGCTAGTGACTTCCCCAACGGAGTGGCAACAAAGCGGGTAACTCCCGCTCGGCTCCGTGGGGCTTTTGCCAGCAGGATCGGGCACTTTGCTTAACCCGATCATCTGCGCGTTTCTTCAGAAGTCGGCCCTGCTAATGGCAGGGGGTTTTGCTCTACCGAACACGCACGCCTTTCTTCCTTCCGGGCTACGGTTAAAGGCAGAGGAACTTTGGGTTTCTGTTTGGTTTGCAACTTTGCAACTTGAGCAGAGTCCGCTTCTTGTCGGCGGCCGCCTGGTCTTCTTTGCGCGCGCTCGCGCCCCGCCGAGGATGCCCAGGTGAGCCCCCCCCCCCCCAGGGCTCCCGCTCCGACGGAGCGCTCGCTCTCGCCGCCGCCGCCGCACCCCGGAGGATGGGCGGGCGGGCGCGCAGGCGACGGCAAGCCTCTGCGGGCGCTCTCGGCGCACCCGGCACTCACATCCGGGGCTGGCTTTGGCTCCGGGAACCAGCAGCAACCCGGAAAAAAGAGGCGCTGCCGAGGCGCGACGGGAGCTGCTCGCGGCCGCGCCGCCTCCGAGTGTCGCGGGCCATGTCCGGGGCGCGCCGGCCAGAGACGCAGCTGGGTGAGTGCCGGGCGCGGGAGCAGGCGCGCAACAGGCGCGGGCGGGCGGAGGCCGCGAGGGACGCGCACAGCCGAGGGGGCCGGGGCGGGGGGATGCCCTTCGCGGGGAGGACGGGGCGCTTGGGACGGCCCGATGCTCCCAGAAGCAGCCGCCCGCTGGGGCTCAGCCCGGAACCTGTCCGGAAGGCCGAGGCACCGGGCCAAGAAGCGAGAGGGCCTCTGGGCATGTGCTGGGATCACCGGGACAACGAGGGCACCAAGTTCCTCACTAGAAGAAGTTTCTAGGTCAAAGGGACGGGGAAAGCTTTTTGAAAAGAAACCCAAGCACGCGTGGCGGGGCTCTTTGCGTCTTTCCTCTGAAGTAAGCCCTGGGAACGCCAATGGTCCCGACTCCCAAGTCGCCGCGTATGAATGCGGCATCATGGAACTCCCGTTGCTGATCCACGCTCCCCGCGTGCAGTCTTAGTGGGCTAAGAAAATGTAAGAAACTTGGAGTCGGAGTTTTTGCAGCCTCCGAAGTAAACGCCCACACCCCGCGAGTTCAATGCGACTTTCCTCCCACGTCCGCGTGCAGACAGATCATTCCTTTCCATGCAGCGTCTCTGGAAATCCCGGGAAGAGCGGCTGTGCTGCGCTTTGGCACTGGGCGAGGCAGGGGTGTGCGTCCCTTTGCGCCGGGCCAAGGCATCCTTTAAAACAGCAACTGAGTTCTGGCTCCTCTCCAGACCTTTAACTGTGTTCAAAGAGGATTAGACCAATTTGTGGAGGATCTCAGTGGCTGTTAACCCTGGTGAAATATGCTCTCCCTCACTATGGGAGGCAGAAGTGCTTCTGAATACCAGTTGTTGGGCATCCCAGGGTGGGAGGGCGGGGGCTGTTGGACTTTGGTCTGCTTGCATTCTTCCCAGGGGCATCTGGGTGGCCACAGTGAGAACAAGATGCTGGACCTGATGGGCCACCAGCCTGATCCACCAGGGCTCTTCTAATGTTCTTACCTTACTTCTTGGAAGAGTTCTGAGCCCAGTCTGCGGTTGAGAAGCAAGGGTGGTGCTCCCAGGGGATCTCGCCTTAAGAAGCTCAAGGTCACACACTGCCTGCCCACACATTGTCCTGCTTGACTTTGTGGGGCAGCTCAAGATAGGTGCTGGGATTTGGTGATGGCTGAGAGGAGTGGGAGGTCCCAGGTCCGAATTTTAACTTGACTGCAAGCCAACTAGGTTGCTTCATTTGCAATAGGCACATGATAATACTGGCCTACTTTCCAGGGTTGTTGTAAAGATGATTCACACAAAGTATGTCAAAATGTGTGTGTGTGTGTGTATTCCATCCTGAAGAACATAGGATGTTACCTTGTATTGAGTCAGACCAATAGGGGGGTGGGGAAGCCTGTTTCAGCTCAAGGTGGGTCCCAGGTCTTAAAACTCCAAACCCTTTGCATGGACTGTGAGGGGTTTCCTACAGGAGTCTTTCTCAGCCCTTCCTGGGAATTGAAGAGGGTGCCTTCTGCATGCCAAGCGGGTGTTCTGTCACTGAGCCCCAGTCTTTCTCTGCTTGGATAAGTATATCCACACCATAATAGACATCACAGTCATGGAGTTTAAAAGGGCACACACAGCCTGAGGATGCTTCAGGATGCATGTTTATTGTGGGGGTTGGTGCTCCTCATCTGTTTAAGTTTTTTTGCAGTGCAGCATGATTTTGCATTAAAATGCTAGCCTGGCCACCCCACCCTACCCAATCCAGATTTACACTTTGTGCTGGAAATGTAATAAGTAAAAACAAAGCAAAACCTGTCACGAATGGCCTGTTTGAGGTATCTTAAAAACCCATTTTGGGATGCGGGTGGCGCTGTGGGTTAAACCACAGAGCCTAGGACTTGCCGATCAGAAGGTCGGCAGTTTGAATTCCTGCGACGGGGTGAGCTCCTGTTGCTCAGTCCCTGCTCCTTCCAACCTAGCAGTTCGAAAGCACATCAAAGTGCAAGTAGATAAATAGGTACCGTTCCAGAGGGAAGGTAAACAGCATTTCCGTGCGCTGCTCTGGTTCACCAGAAGCAGCTTAGTCATGCTGGCCACATGACCCGGAAGCTGTATGCCGGCTCCCTCGGCCAGTAAAACGAGATGAGCGCCGCAACCCCAGAGTCGGTCACGACTGGACCTAATGGTCAGGAGTCTTTACCTAAAAACCCATTTGCACCAGTAAGCCTACATCGGGAGGCCCCCACAGAAAGCACCATAGAAGTGTTTTGCTATTGCGTCTATGGTCCATGGAGAGTTTTATATAAAGAACAAGAGAAAGTAGACTCTTCAAATGAGGACCTCTCCACCTCTTCATTAGCACTACTAGTATTAAAAATCCATTGCAATGTCTATTTTTCTACTCAATAAAATGCATTCTCTGTTCCCATTGGTATCTCTTTAGCTTTGTTACTGCTGTTCATCTGAAATAAAAGTTGCTGCCCTGGATGCTGATTGCGCCAAAATAGGATGTCTGTGCCTTGAAACCTCCCAGAAACAGTTTCTCTATTGCATTTGTATTCCACTCATCTTCTAGGACAGGCACATCTAACAGGTGGATTGTGATCTACTGGAAGATCACTGGACGTCGGACGTCTGTGGTAGATCACTGGTAGATCAGTGGCTCCCCCAAAGAAGCTGAACAACTTTGGCTCCCCTAAAAAAAGCTCAACATTTTGGCCCTTCACCCCCCCCCAAAAAAACGGGCCTTCCCTCCTCCCTAAAAGCAGATCAACAAGTTTGACCTGAACCCCCCAAAAGGGGGTAGATCACTGCCAGTCTTTAACTCTGTCAGTAGATGGCAGTCTCTTGGGAGTTGGCCACCCCTGCTCTAGGACACTTGGGGCACCTACACACTGTCCCATGTTATCTTCAACCAGAGAAGGAGAGAGAAAGAGGAAGGTGGCTGGTCCAAGGTCATCCATTGAGCTGTATAGAGATTTGAACTCTGCCCTCTTAAGAAAGGAAACAGAGTCCTGCTGGATCAGGCCAGAAGCTCATTTGGCTCATCGTGTGCTCTCTTGGTGGCCAACCAGATGCCTATGGGAAGCCTGCAAGCAGATCCTCTTGAGTTTGCTGCCAGATGTATTGGGATGCATCCTTGTGGCTTTTTATTCTCCCACCACAAAGTATTTGTGAACTTGGATAATGTGAAAGGACCACCATGCAGCCCTGCCAAACCTGGTGCCCTCCAGGTTCCCCTCAGCTCAGCCAGTGCAGGCGTGCGGATTGGAGCTGTTGTGGAGAAATTATGGAGAGCCCAGCTTGGGGAAGCCAACCCTTGACTTTTCCCTAGGGTGTGATCGGGTGGGGCTTAACCAGAACCAGAGAAAATAAGGCTTGCTTCTTCTTTTTATGACTGCTTGGTGTGAAATGTGATTTGGACATTCACATGTTGCAAACAGGTCTCTCTGTGGGTAATTGCAGAATCCTCTGTGCACTGGGTGTTTGAGTGAAAGGTATTAACTGTGGGACAGAGGTTACCCAATCTGGGGATGGGGTTCTGCATCTTTGTGCTTATGGTCAATAAAATCGTGCAGACTGTATCCCCCACCTACCCATTATTTCCCAGGCTCAAGTATTCTTCATTATATTTAAGTTAGAAACCTATATGCATTATACCTTGGAATAATTGGAGAACATATGATTGGATTCAGGATACTTAGCTTTTCTGTTAGTTTGCTTCAAATATTCAAAGCACCTCCCCTATATCGTCCGGCTAGTTTTGGTGTTATCCTTGTATTGCAGATGGGGAAGGAAGCTGCTGGTTTGCCTAAAGCAATCCTGTGAGAAGATATTTTAACTGGAACTATTATGCTGCATCAGCTCTTAAAATGGTTGCAAACAAACAAAAATAGAGTGGATGCTTTTTTCTTTGGCTACTTATTGAGCACTGTTAATGTTACCACATTCCTTCATGGAAAGGCTCGTCTGCCCCTACATTAGAGGCAGAATACTCCATAGCTGAAGCTCGTCTCTTTTTCATCTCCATGCCAGACAAAAGCTTCCCTTGTTAAAATTCTGCCTACCTTACAAATGTTTCAGAAGCCTGCCGTAAGAAGAGCCTTGGCAACCATAAATACTGCAGAAGCTCTTATACAGGAACATCAGAAAATCTCAGCATGGATCATCACCTCTTTGCCTGCTCCTCAGATTTGGAAACATGTCTTGGCATGAGTTGAGGTTGAGGAGCTGCAGTGATGAGGGCTGCAAAGGTGCCCTGGATTTAAAGCACATTTTCCTTTCCCGTCCAAAAAACAATTCTGGAAATTATAGTTTACCCTTCACAGAGCTGCAGTTCCCAGCACCTTTAACAAACTAACAGTTCCCAGGATTCTTTGGAGGTGAAAATGTGCTTTAAATGCGTTCTAATGTATGGTGTGTGCACAGCCAAAGTTGGCTTTTCCTCTTCAGATATGTATTTTGATTCACAAGATACTCTGTAATGTCCATTGTCTGGATCTCTTCTGCATCAGTGGTCCTTGTCCCTTCCCCGCTTTATTGAAAAGGGATTTTTCTGGTGTGCCTTCCTCTTACACACAATGTAAGTCAGCATGTGCTTTGTGAACACCCAAAGAGGAAGCTATGTAGACTGCAAGCACAGAGGAACTTGGCAGCCTTCCCAGGGGATGAGGTTCTGAAAAATAAGGGTCGGTCGAGCTGCTTGGCTTCATACAAAACAGCCTTTCTATCGCTGGAG